CCCCCCCCCCTTCGCAAGTAATGGAGAAAGTATATAGGGCCTTAATTCAGAACATCTGGTTTCCTTATGGAAATAGTGGACAGAATATATACCCAGATGCCAATATAAACAGACCCCTGGGCAGGCTAAAGAAGTTGATCTGAAGCAAACATTTTAAAGTGTTCATTTATTGCAGTTAAGGGCTTTTATCTATAGCCTACATGAAGGAGAAGGGGGCACCGAGAGTTGGATTAATCCCTTGTATTGCTTGATAACAATTATAGTTGAAAATCATAGCTTGCAGGGCATTGCAATATTTTACTTGATAACAATAAAAGTGACACATAAAGTTAACTGTTTATGTTTTATTTATTAGACTAAATGTGCCAGCGGTGTCGGAGGCTCTGGGCTGGTTGTAGCAGTTTTTATGGGGCTGTAAAACGCCATAAATCAGTCACTTGAAATGGTTAGCTCTCTCTCTCTCTCTCCCCCCCCCTCTCTCTTTCTTTTTCTCTCATGCATGTTCTCTCTCTAACAAGGGCTTGTGCAAGCCTGCATTTGCAATGCTGACTGTTTATTCTTTCCAAGAAAAAAGTAATTTTTTTTTTATTATCAGGAGAACTGTTTACTTTTATTTTTATTTTAACTATTTATTCATCACCTAGTTACGAGATTCCATTAGATCTATCAAAATTACACACACACACACAAATACACATGCCTCACCACCCCCAAACATTTGAGATTTTTAATTACATCTGCAAGTAAGAGGAAATCAAAGAAAACAGAACATTAGCAAGCCTTTTGCATCATCCATATATCCCCCTAGAGACGAATTTGCAATAGAGGTGCCCACACAAATTCGATTCTACAGGGTATATATAAACGACTGATGAATTTGTCCTTTATGGGGCTAGGAAAACCTGGAAAATTATATTCCTCCTCTTTCCCAATAAAGTTCTTTCTTTTCTTTCGAAGAGCAGCTGTTCAGAGTTCCAAAAAAAAAAGAGAAGCTTTTTCCGTAAGTTAAACTGTTTCTAGTTGTGCACAGTTTTAGTAGATTTTAGCAAGATGGGATCCATTCTATCTTCACTTTGGTAATTAGGCCTAAGAAAGTGATTTCTAATTTGACTACAGTTTATATTTATTGCATTTGGACATTTAAAAAAAGAGTACATCCAATAAGTACCTAGTCAAGCTCACCCTCCCCTGTCCCTTTACTGAATGCTTCTCATGTGCAGTTCTTAAAGAGGAAAGTATATTCTGGGATGGTATTTTACTCATCTATGGCTATCTAATCCTTCATTTGAATGGTTGTTTACTGATTAACTCTGGAAGAAGAAAAGGAGGTTGAGATTGGTTTTACATTCCTGAGAGAGAAAGTTATTTATTACTGTATACAGTATATTCTATTCTATTCTATTCTATTCTATTCCCCTTCTCAGCCTGAAGTTCTCCAGATCAGCTGATGGCTGGCTGCAGAGTATAAGTGATGTAATCCAACATATATAAGTGGCGTGTAAAAAGCAAAAGAGAAATATTGTGAGATCAACTGGACAGTGCACCTAATCCTATTGATTCAGATAGCTGTCCATACGAAAGGAATTCTGATATATGCGTCGATAGGAACAACTTTGTCTAAGGCATCTGTTGCTGTACGTGAGAAGAAGAAAGAGAAAAATGTGGGGGGGGGCTGTTTTGAAAATGTGGGGGGGCTGTTTTGCCTTAAAATCGTGGCATAGAAGATAGAGGAAATGTCAACTGAAAAAAAAAATAACAGGCAAAGATTTCTGCTTCTGCAACTATTATTAATGCCAGTTTTTTTTATATAATTTCTCTCTCTCTTTTTTTTTTATCTCTTTCTTCTGAGAAAGAGTACCCTAGTACTCTTTCTGCTGGTGGTGATGGTATTGTTATGCCTAGCTGTGGCATTACGACCAGCTGCAACAAGCAGCATTACAGCTGTTTCTTCTGAGCTTTGCATATCTCAGGACTCTTATCAGAGATATACACTACCTTCTAGTGTATTTTATCCCACTGCATTCAGGGAGATCAGTTCAAGGGAATTGCTTTCCTTGCCTCCTTTTTATGTTAAGGTTAATAGAATTCCTGTGATGAGAGAGAAAGGGAAAGAAGAAGTTTGGGTTTTAAGCACATCAGCTCAATCCTAAAGCTCAAGAACCTCAGGGCGGTTCCAGGATGTTCTGGGGTAAGAAAGCACACGTGAGTGAATGAACCAGTTTGGCAGGCACTGCAAGATTATGATAGCAATATGGCAGACCTCTTGGAACTGAGATGAACTTTTTAACTGTGTAGAAAATGCAGTGGCAGGATATGGCCCAATTCTGCAGGAATGCTTGAAAGTACAAAGCCAATCTGAATTTACTCCCCAGTGAGTGAGTGGATGAGTTCACTTCCGAGCCAGCCACTTGGGTGTGTTTTTTTTCCCCCCAAAATGTATTTATTTTGCAATCAAATTATAACGGCTCCTTTTCTTTATTTGTACCAATTTATCCCCTTCCCTGTTCATATTTTAACATACGGGTAGAGTCTTTTTAAGAAATGGTTTTTCTCTTGTAGGTTAACCCCTTCCCCCCCCCCCCGAAAAAAAGAAAGTCTCTGTGTGTTTGTTTAGCTTGATTCCTTCAGGGTTTGGGAACTTTTCCTCTTATTGTCCCCATCAAACAAGGCTCCAAAACCCTGTGGGGAAAAAAAGACCCTAAACCATAGTGGGGCACAAACCTCTTTTGTTTCTATTTAGCATCCTTCTCTCCTTAGCCTCACTTTCTCCTAACCGGCAAAATACAACGTGGGCGATACACATTATTCCTGTAATAATTATTCTTTTGCTCAGCAATTGAGAAAAGAGGTAGAACTTTTCGGGGAAATATTTCCTGATTCTTAATTCCTATCCAAACTAGGAAATCGGGTTGGAAAAACATGTATCTCTCTGCTTCCCATTTCCAGGACTATTTCTGAGTACAAAGCATCCCTTTGACAGTACGGAAGAAAAATAAGTGCCCATTGTCCCTGCGGATTCATTGTGCAGGCTATTACCATACTGACCGCTTGGTAACCCACACCTCTAGCCATTTACAATCTGTGCATCCACCCTCCCTGGGCAAATAAATAAATAAATAAAAGCCTCCGCCATCCCCCAAATGTAGTATGGAGCCATCAAGGGTTTGTTATTTCCCTGTTTAGCAATCCAAATAAATATTAAATGAATAATCCCCCATCACACAAAGCTTTATCATGCGAGCCATATACTCTTTAATGTTAAGTATAACCAAGGCTATTCCTTAGCCAAATAAGGCAGTCACACACTTGCACACATAGGCGCACAGTCACACATATACAGGTATTTTTTTTTTACAAAAAAATGCATCTCAAAGCTGTTGTTTGCAGACATCTAAAAAAAAATAATCCAAGAATATAATTCAGCTTCTGGATTACACGCTTTTTCATGCACCAGAAATTACTTTTTTCCTAAGTGAACAAAACATTTCATCCCTGACCAAGTGAGTTGGACTCTTTTGGGATCAAAAGATTGTTCATTGACTAGATGGGAATATCCATGTGCATGGGTATGGTGGAGAAAAATGTTTTTGGGAAATGGGGAAAGGAAGATCAGTTGTACAGAGCAGAGTTCTTTATGACACTTCATTTGAATATCAAATAAATAATCCGTTTTCATTTTTTTTTAAAAAAAACCCCATAAACTTGTAGGTATGAAAAACCACAAAATCTTTCCATATTGGCTCTCCTTCCTCTCTTCCCCTCTCTTGCTCCCCACAATGTCCAGAGGTAGTAGTAATTTATGCAAAGAAATACGCAACTATTTAATTGATTTTTTTTCTCTTAAGTCTGTTGTCACTAAAAAAAAATGAGTTAGAGTGATACAATTTGAATAACCA